TCTGTCCCACCTCCACCTGCACAATCCTAGGCATCTTCCCAACGGTAACCACGATGATACATTTGTGTGAATCTTTCATAGACATTTTTCCTAAGGAAATGTGTTGTTTTATGCATTAACATAAAATGAACTTGTAGAACCTTTAAGATGCTATTTCATGGGTGTGTTTTATAATAACGAAATATATTTTGAGTTAATGGGAACCTTATTTCTTTAGGTCATGTATAAATTCAACTCAATCAATGTGATTTTTTTGGTATTAGAAAAGTCTAGATAAAATATTAGTGTAATTTTAAAGCTAGAATATAATATTGACTTTTTACCAGTTTTGCTTATTGTATGTGAGTCTGTCTCAGTTAACACTATAATTTTGTTGCTGAAAGCTTAGTGTAAAAATATATTTGGGTTAACTGAATGTTGCCATTAATTACACTCTTCCTTTGAAATTATTAACTTTTATTATTATAAAAGTAATTCTGTGTACATATGTATGTATATAAAAGGAAAAGACAAGACTCTCTTCTCAGCCCCCACCCCAGTCATTCTCTCCTAGAAGAAACCGTTGTGTCCATTTTCTGTGGAAGCCTCCAGAAATCACATTCACATGTGTTGTCTTATTTAATCCTCACAGTGTTTTCCTTTAACATTCAATGTACGCACACACACACACACACACACACACACGCATGCACGTACATATTCTTTTATTCGTGGTTGGGGGGAGAGAGCTGGAGCATGCACCTTCTGTGTATTCAGCACTGAGATACCCATTTTATTAGTTCTACTTTATAGATTAGAATGTTGAGGTCCCTCAGGATCTTACAGTTAGTAAGTGACACAGCCACTCAAGTGCACACTTAGTTTTCAGACACTCCAGTTGTTTTATTATTGAAAGACTCTCCCTATTAGAGGGTCAAGGGAACTCTCAAAATTAAGGGTATAGCTCAAAGAAGATAAAGGAGGACTTGGAGGGGTGAGGGTGAGAACTAGGGACGGTTCCTACAGTTATATTCCCTGAGCTTAAACCCCAGCCCATGGCTTGGCCACTCAGTGGGACTTTGGGAAATCCAACCTCCTCAACCAGGGGAAAGAGTCTGGTTCTGGAAAGCATTTGAGCTGATGGGAATGGAGCAGAAGTTCTACTTCCCACCAGCTGGAGACTTGCCTATTTTGTGTCATTTACCTGGACATAGATCCTGAGAGAAGCCCCTGGCAGTGGTGGCACTGGCTGACTCCTTTTTATTCATATCAGCATCACGGGAAACTTGGAGCATCAGAAATCCTCCTGGAAAGCCAGGAGAAGAACTGGGAACAGGGAAGGCCTCTTTTCTTTTTTTTTTTAAATGAGGAAGATTAGCCTTGAGCTAACATCCGTTGCCAATCCTCCTCTTTTTTCTGAGGAAGACTGGCCCTGGGCTAACATCTGTGCCCATCTTCCTCTACTTTATATGGACGCCGCCACAGCATGGCTCGACAAGCAGTGCGTCGGTGCACACCCAGGATCCGAACTGGCAAACCCTGGGCCGCGGAAGCGGGGCGCTCGCACTTAACCACTACGCCACCGGGCCGGCCCCTCACATGTGCCCTCTTTTAACAGAAGAAGTGTATTTCATAAGTTACCTTCAGTCAAAGGAGAAAGAACAGCTACTGTTTATTGGCTATATATCTGATAGATCAGCTAGTGTGCTCCGTGCTCTTCATTGCCGTTTCATCTTTATTATAGCTCTGTGAGATGGAAAGTTGAGGGCCACTTCAGAGATGAGGACCTTGGCCATCAGAAGCTAGTGAGTTAGGTAACTTGCTAGAGAACATAGAACGAAAGGGGTGGAGGTGGCATCAAACCCTCGCCCCCTGACTCCAAAGCCCACGCTTTTGCCAGTGCCGTGCGCTGGGCTGAGATTCAAAACAGACGACTGTCACCCTGGTGGACACAATTAAGTCCATTAGCCATTCTGTCTTCTGTGGCCATCTCTAGTCTTAAAGCTAATTATCTCTTTGTTTAAATTAGCGTCTTCTGGTTACTCAGTGAAAACATTTGATAAGCTTGACTTCTTAGGATGAAATTTTAAAAAAATTATGAAATCTTAACTTACATTGGAATGTAAACAACCAATCATTTACCAGGTGGCAGAGGCTTACTGGATTTAATGTTTTTCAAACTGTATGTCATGGTTTATTAGTGGGCTATAAAATCACTTTAGTGGGTCATGATCAGCATTTTAAGGACTAGACTAGGATAAGATAGGCTAGAATAGAATAGGAGAACATTATATTGGATAAGCACTTACACAGCAAAAAGCATATTTTTTAGTAAGTGTAATTTTTCTCTTAGTGATATATCTTATGTGTGCATTCATGCAAAATGTATTTCTTACTACTGTAGGTCACAGTTTTTAAAAAGTTAGCTTGGGAAAATGAATTGGGAACAGATGCATAATTCATTAAATAGCTTGTTGTTCTTTTCCATGGACAGCTTGCCCTTCAGTTCCGAACAGAGCCTCTTAGGTCCCAACAGCACCACCCTTAGTCCATCGGCACAGAGGGATTTTCAAGTAGAGCTTTCTGGACATGTCTGTGTGTTAATCTTTCCCCAGATCCTTGATTAGATGGATGTGCCTGTTAGATTCAAAACATATTTTGAACACTCAGGAAGGGAAAAGTGACATTTCTAAAAGCTGTGGTGAGGTGGGACCAAAGGTGGGACCAGGGCCGGCCCCGTGGCTTAGCGGTTAAGTGTGCACGCTCCGCTGCTGGCGGCCCGGGTTCGGATCCCGGGCGAGCACCGACGCATCACTTCTCTGGCCATGCTGAGGCTGCGTCCCACATACAGCAACTAGAAGGATGTGCAGCTGTGACGGACAACTATCTACTGGGGCTTTGGGGGAAAAATAAATAAATAAAATCTTCAAAGGTGGGACCAGAATTAGATTATTTATGGATTCTTTTCTGACTGGAAAAAAGAGGGGTGAGCAATGGCTCTCATACCGAGTCAGTGAGCAGCTGTTCCTTCGTGGATGAAGCTCGAGGACAAAAGAGATGGACTCTGTTGCAGCAGGAGGATTGTGCTAGACCGGGAAGGACTTCCCCGTGGAAGGAGTGGGCGTGTGTGTGTAGCACCCCTCATCCCGAGGGCCTGAGAAGATTAGGATGAATTCCTTTCTGCCATGGGGTCCTTTGGGGGGGCAGCAGGAGGGTGGGTGAGTCTGAGTTTTTCCCACCCCAAGATGTCCTTGTTCCTTTAGCCACGCTCTCCCTGTCTCTCATTAGCAAGCACAGTCTGGAGCTGGCCATGTTTCTGTCCTCAGCCACGGAGGGATCTGATGAATCCCGTGGTGTTTTGCTGGGCTGCACTTAGCTTTGCTTTTCATCCGGATGTCAAACCAAGCCTGCAACAGCTGTGATCAGCTGTTGGGGGTGGGGGGTGATGGGTGGGGAGGGGGCAGCTCCTGGCCTCTTGCCCAGCCCTAGTCGAAAGTGCTTTGCATCCAGCTCTCAGTTTGTCTCTTTCTATTGCTGACCCTATAGCTATGTCTTTTTCTATCTTTCTGTGTACATCTCTTTTCATCTTCCTCTTTTTTCTTCTCTTCTTCCCTCATCTCTCCTTGGGCAATTGGGAGCCACTAGACATTAACATGGATCTTTTAGAGTGGGTGGGTCATTCAGGGCAGAGGAAGGGACAGAGAGCATCCATTTCTGAGTCCCCCACCCCAAACTGTGGCTGTTGGCGAGGTGCCCTATGACTGGAGAAAAGCCTGAATTCAGCCAGACTTGGATTCTCAGCTTGAACCCACCTCTTGCTGGCCAGGAGACCTTGGTCAAGTAATTGAACTTCTCTGAGCCTCAGTTTCCTCCTGTGTTATATGGTGATATCAAATGCCTGCCTGACGATGTTGTTGTGAAGATTAAATGAGAAAACCTCCAGAAAGGCTCCTTGCTCAGGGATTGACACATATTGCATGTTCAAAATATGTTCATTTTCCTTCTCGGCCCCTTTTGGACAGAATCCCCACCCTTCTTCCTTGGCAGCCATGCACCCCACTTGGTGGCCTGATGCTACCCCCCCTTCTCCCTCCAGCCCAGGGCTTGTTTTGCTTCTACTGAGCATCAAATATTTGTTGACTTCCATGGAGAAAACAGTTCCATGAAGGGTCATAATTCTTCTAGTACCAGCTCTTGTCATTTTTCTAGGCTTAGAAAAAAGCGAGTTTGAGAAAATGGCCATTTTTAACATGAGTCATCCCATGATGGGAGTGAAAAGCCAGCGATGAGGAAAAGCCTTAGACCTCTCCATGAGTCTGATAGAGAGGCCTGAGCTCACGTCAGGCACCGACATTTTTGTTTCTTAAACCACATGGACAGATTATAAAGATGGTTAGTAAAAGAGGATTCTGACCAACTGTGACTATTACCACTGCCTGCCTACCCCCTCCCACCCCCCCAGATTCACTCAGCCTTCAGCTTGGTCTGAGTTAGTCTTCCTTTTGGTGTAAGAATGCAGCATTCAAGCAAGGCTGACCCGTCTCATGGCTGTAGTCCCAAAGCAGCCGACCAGGGACTAAGCCCAGGGTTGTCTGCTGGGACCTGCATCTTCATTGAGCCCACGGGCTGCAGAGCACTGTGTGAGGTGTCTGGGTCTCCTCCCACCTCTAGAGCCCACAGGCTAGTGGGAGCCAAGATGGATCCACTGTCCTGGGTTCCTCTCATGATTCCTGGGCTCTTCTGGAAGAAGAATCCAGACACCAGAGGAAGCTTTTGGGGATGTTGGAGGGAGAGTAGGAAAAAGACATTTCTAGGCTGACATTGGCTTTTTTGGACTTTGGTCCTTTTATTCCATGGACGCTTGTTGGTTGGGCCGTGGATTCCTTCCCTCCTCCCCCTATTTCCCACGTCCGAGAGCCAAGGGCTTGTCTGCTGCTTTGACCCCTGAGGTTTCACCCAGAGAAGTACCCCCCTTCCCTCCATCTCCTCCCAGTTTTAACACCATGTCTCTCTTTGGGCAGGTTTAAGGATTACCGAGAGCCACCATGGGCCCCGAACCCATATGAGTTTTCCAAACAGTACTGGTCCGTTCTGTCTGCCCGTTTGGCATTTGTCATCATCTTCCAGGTGAGTTCAGATAAGGAATAGTGAATCAGAATCCAGGCTGCAGGGGGTAAGACAGCCACGCTGCCTGCCCCTCATCTCCAGTTTCCATGGCACCTCGTGACATAAGGGGCCTTCGCATGTGGCAGGCAGAAGTGAGGGCTCCCTTCCCTGGGTGAGGCAGGAAGCACTCTCCAGAGGGCTTCCATTAATGGATGGATTTGCAAAAAGAGAAAAAAGCACAGAGTAAGGTTACAAGACAGACGGGGAGTAAGTTGCAGAGTGGGGGATAGATTCCCGTTAAACGTAAGACAAGAAAAGAGAGTGGGAAGAGCAGTGGTAACCAGAGTCTCGACCTGAGCAGACAAACAGCCCCACCTGAGTCCTGACCCTTTCTTCTAGGGCTCTGGCGGGCTCCTTCCTTTGTTAGTGCTGTTTTAGCCCCTGAGACATCTGGTGGCCAGGGCCCCCAGAGCCACCCCTCCATCCCTGAATGAATAGCAAACTTGAGCCCAGCGATTCCTATCTCTGAAAACCCCTGCAGCTCCTGTTGCATTGCTGCGATTCTCTGAGCGCGAGGCCCCGGTTCCCACTCGGGGTCCTGCTGGCCTTCAAGCGGGGCTGGAGCACAAGCCCAGATCCTTTTCTCTTCGTCTCCCTCAGGCTTTTGTATTCCCTGAAGGCAAATCTCTGGAGGGCTCTAAAATATCCTGCCCCCGGACCCCAGCCCAGGAAGTGGAGAAACCCATCGGCTAGTCTTTCACCTAGAGGAGATAGCCATTCTTCCTCTGGAGAGATGGGGCGATACATTTGAAAAATCGCTCAGACAGCCCCCTGCTGCCCCACCCACAGGAGTCTCCTCACTTTACCGTATGCCACATGTAATATTCACACACACCATAAGGAGTTGGTTTAAAAGAAGAGTGTGTGACTTGATGAAGCAGCTCTAGAGCACCTGAGGCACCCAGGAGCCTCTGGAAGCAGCAGGTGGTCCCCAAATCTTCCCCTGGGCCCCTAGGAGCATGTAGGGTTCAAGGTCAAGTTGGGAATAGATTTAGAGCATGGGAGATAGCAGTGCTCTGATTATCTCCTTCTGGCCGAGTCACTGACCTCTGGATCTCAGAGGGGAGAAGACAGTGAGCATATAATTGACAGGAGGAGAAGAATATCACAATTGGAGGCGTACTGGGTAGAGTGTGGGTGAAGGGTGGCTTGGGGAAAGGAATGCGAATCAGATTATAAAAGTAGCTAGCATGTATTGGACCATTCTGGCATTGCGGTGATGTATTCACTCAGTCAGACAGAAGATGCTCCCAGGGAAAGGTGGTCTTAACCTGCCTGTACCAGCACACCTCAGAGATAGTGCAGGTTCCATTCCAGACCACCGCAATAAAACGAATATCTCGTTAAAGCAAGTCATAAGAATTTTTTGGTTTCCCAATGCATATAAAAGTTATATTTACACTATATTGTAGTCTATTAAGTGTGCAATAGCATTATGCCTAAAAAAACCATGTATATACCTTAATTAAAAAATACTTTATTGCTAAAAAATGCTAACCATCATCTGAGCCTTCATCGAGTCATAATCTTTTTGCTGGTGGAGGGTCTTGTAAAAAAATGCAGTATCTGCAAAGCTCAATAAAGTGAAGCACGGTAACATGAGGTGTGCCTGTATTTACAAGGGAGGGGATGCAGCTCAGCAGACGGAAGAAGAAAGTCAATTTTAAGTGTGCCCAAAAGCTTAGAACTGATTAAGGAAGGCCAGAGGCAGAGGTCCCAGACTGGCCAGTGTGACTAGAGTGGTGGAATGGAAGGGTAAGGGGAATGTGAGGTCGGCTGAGGCCAGAATTCAGTGCAGGAACCAAAGGTCCATCTGTGATATAGAGGACAGAGGGCCAGCTGGAAGGAGGAGGGGGCAACTGACCCAGAGCAGGCCCTGGAGAGGCCATTGGGCCTTGTGGCCTCTTACCTGGAACCTCTGGAGGGGAGGCCTGGAGGCTTAGAGGCCAGGAAGCAAGAACAGGACATGTGAGATGGCCTGGAAGAGGGGAAGAAGAGAGAGCTAACACTTACCGAGCCCCGCCATGTGCGAGGCGGTGACTCATTTAACCCTTACCCCTCCAGGAGACAGGTGCTGTAACCATTCCACTTTCCACACGGCACACCCAGGTGCAGTTATAGTTAGGCTTGTTGGCTAAGATCACTTGCTAGTAAGTAGTGGAGCCAGAGGAACAGGGAGCCATTCCACTCCTGGTCTGTGCTCTTCACCGCTATGCCATACCACCAGCCCCACTGCTGAGGCGGTCACTCTGATAGGGCAAGGGTGGACAGTGGCGCGCTAGTGTCCCACCAGGCCAGGCCTCTCCTCTCAACTCCTCTCCCTCGCTTTTGGCAGAACCTTGTGATGTTCCTGAGTGTCCTTGTGGACTGGATGATCCCAGATATCCCCACGGACATCAGCGACCAGATCAAGAAAGAGAAGAGCTTGTTGGTTGACTTCTTCCTGAAAGAGGAGCATGAGAAACTCAAGCTGATGGACGAGCCGGCCCAGAGGAGCCAGGGAGAGGGGCATCAGAGCAGGAGGAGCCGGGCCGCCAGCTCGGCACCCTCGGGCCGGAGCCAGCTGGGTAGCATCGCGTCCTCTGGTTCTCAGCACACCAACGTGTGAGCGAGCCAGCCCCACTGCCGAGGGGGCGCTGCAGCAGTGAGAGACCACGCACAAGCACGTCAGTGCACCCACACCGGTGCCGTGTCCGACCGTCAGCCTGGATCTGGCCCAAGGGGGTCTTGAAGAGGGTGTGTGTGTGAAGAGAGAGACACAGAGAAATTAGAGAGTACGAGCGAGAGAATGAGCGCAGGATGGAAGAGAAATGATGCTGCTTCTCAAAAACTTGAAGCTTAAGTTTCTTGTAGGTCCTCTTTTGAGCTATATCCTTTTGGGAGATTGGTACCCTTTTTGAGTCCATCACTCTCTACCCCGGAGTTCCCAGGCACCAGGAGCCTTCCCTATGTCCCCTCAAGTACCCTCTCATTTCAGATGGCCACAGGCTATGAGAGAGCCCTGTTCTGGCACCCATTGTAAGTGATCGCCGCTCCCTTCCTGCCACTACCCAGAGAAAACCCTCTGATTACTTGCTGCTGGGGCTGTCACAGCCTCAGTGGATGCACATTAAGTTACAGGGCTGGTTGCTGTGACCCGAGGGTGAGTAGCAAAGGTCCCAACCTAGGCTGGTCTCCAGTTCATGTCATGGGGATGCTTTGAGCTAAATGCAACTAACCGTCATTTTATGCAGGTTCAGATTTAAAATAATAAAATAAATTGAGACATTCTTTATAAAGGTGCTTCTCCTTGTCTTTGGTTCCCTCTCTCTTCCTACTGACATTTATTGGGTACCTACTATGAGCCAGGCATTGTTCTCAGACTAGAGATGGAACAAAGTGCAAGAGACAAAATCCCTTACGTTCTGGGGGAGACAGACAATAAGCTGATACGTGTGCAGTATCTTAGATAGTAATAGTGCTATGGGGAAATGTAAAGTAGGATAAAGGAGACAGGAGTGTGAGGGCACAGGAGGTGAGGGGTTTACCATTTTATATACAAATTAATGACAAACCCAAGATGGTTCAGAGGATGATCTTGCAATGCTGACATCATCAACTGGTAGCAGCCTCCTAGGGCTCCACAGTGAGCTTTTCAAGTATAGTTGGAAGTAAGGGTCAAACATCATTTATCATTGCCTTTCACATGCCTCAACCCCCGCTGCTGCCCAGAAACCAGTTGCACAATCTCCTTCATCTGGACTTGTCCCCTTTTCCTTGCCTGAATGGAAGCTGCAAGGAGGGCCATACTCCAGAGGAGAAATGAGAGTTATTGTTCTGATGTTTCAGCATACCTGGTAATGCCAGGGCCCATGGGTGCTGGGCTGGGCACTGGTGCTGCTCACCATGGCTTCTTGTTTCCTCCTGGGTGCATACAGGATTGTACTGCCCACCAACCCTTGCTCTAGAAAATGGTCCCTTCTTTTAAGGGGATACCAGGGCATGGGTTCAGCTCTTAGGAAGAGCAACAGGCAGTCATGTCCCAGGCCACTCATGCAATCCTACAATTAATTTTAATTACATCACATCTTAATGTTCAAACTTGCCATTTGAGGCTAGATTCAAACTACAGTGGTATAAAAACATTGCATCATCTTCAACAGGCTTCAGCTAATTTGGAAAGGCTGAAGTGGCCAATAGGAGGAAAATTTCACTTTAAGGGGCATTAATGACATGGAGATTCCAGATCCATGAAAAGGAGAATATCCCCGGCGACTCCTACCAGTGTGGGTGGCATTGACATTTCCAGGAAGCAGTGATGGTCCTCAGTCAGAGGTTGCCTCCATCACCAGGACACCCACTCTGCACTGACTGAGCCACACCCAAGCCCGTTGGCTGCCCATGGCTGGTTCAAGACCCCACCTCTTTTCTTTCTTATTTTTTAAATTAAACATTTTATATGATCATACATGTGAAACGCACACCAAGAAAGATTCAGACAGTCTAAAAAACAATGAAGAAGAAAGTAAAATCACCCACAATCCTGAAATCTATAATCAACATCGACAATTGCTGTGTTTTCTTCCAGAGTCTCATTCCCTCTCAAGCACTTTCATATTTTTTATTACAATTATGCTATTTATACTGTCTTGTTACCTTCTTGCACTTCTTGTATCTCGTCAATCCTTTTATCCCATAAATATATGTTTGTTCATTCAAAAGTATGTACTGAACACCTACTGTGCGTCAGGCTCTGTATTAGGCACTTGGGGGTACATCACTCAACACAACAAAGACTCCTGCCCTCATGGATCTTATGCTCTTGTGGGTGGGTCGGAGAGACAATAAACAATGAAAGTGAACTATATGCAGTCATCTCTCGATATCCGACGGGGTTTGGTTCCAAGACCCCTGCAGACACCAAATCCAGGGATGCTCAAGTCTCTAGTATAAAACGGAGTAGTATTTGCATATAACCTACGCACATCCTCCTGTGTACTTTAAATCATCTCTAGATTACTTATACTGCCTAATACAATGTAAATGCTATGTAAATAGTTGTTATACTGTATTATTTAGGGAATAATGACAAGAAAAAGAAGTCTGCATGTTCAGTACAGACACAACCATCGTAGGCTTTTTGATCTGCCGTTGGGTCAATCTGTGAATATGGAACCCGCGGAGAGGTGTTAGAAGGTGATAAGTGCTATGGAAAAAAGAAAAAGTAGAGCAAGGCAAAGGGGATTAGTTGTGGGGGTAGAGCTCCACTTTATTTCCATTGTATAGAAGGGCCTTTGCCTTGTTTCCATCCTGCCCCACCCCATGCTGCGGATTGCGGATTGGGTGTGGAAGCTCATGGTGGCCACAGCTCACGTCCTAGGGACCAGGTCAGACAGAGCCGCCTGGGGGGGGTAAGGGGGTCTAGATGGCATGAGGAAGGGGGATGTAATCTGACCATGTACAGGTTTCCACTCTGAAAGGACACAGATTTCTCCCTCTCTCCTACCACAAGTGAAGCAGGAATTTTGTGATTTGCCCCCACCCCCAGGCCCAAATCATCTCAGTAGCATCCATGTTAGTAGCATGACCTCCAGACACACCTGCCCTACACAGCAGCAATAGGGATTTAGGCCAAGTAAGAAGAACTTTCCAAAGGCTTAGTTAAACTGGGTAGAGGAATGGTAAGTGCAGTCCTAATTTAAAAACAAAACCTCCATCTCTGGGCTCCTTAAGGAAATAATACATTTTTAAATTTTATTATAAAATAGAAAAAAAAATTGCAAGCAAATATCTAAAACATTGAAGTCAAAAAATACTTATTCTACTTCCTTTCTCCAGAAATAATAAAAGTTAATATTTTGCTTTAAGTTTATTTGTATTCCTATGGCATATGTGCAGTCACTTAACATTGATTTGTAATAGCATCTATTTTGTTTAATTATAAAAGTAATACATTCTCACTGAAGATTTTGAGAATGCAGAAAAAGTAAAATGTAAATGAATAAGTTTAAATCACTTAAATGTTCACCTCCAAGAGATGCTTTGCCACTGGTCATTTTTCTGGTCACTGATTTTCATGCATGGCTGAGGTCATTCTGCACGCACAAATGTTTACACCTAGTTAATAAAGACCCAGCCCGATCCCTGACTAAAGGTTATTATGAAGAAGGCCGTGGCGATAACCGGTGTCTACCACTGAGTCCATCAATCTCTCCTTGTTAAGAACAAAAAGAAATGGAATCAACTTGATGGTTGATGTAAATAAATAATCTTGATGGTTATTTCCTTTATGTGCTCTTTGTAAAAAGAAGAGTATGAAATAAGAGGCGAGACTTTCCTTCACTCCCGCCTTTGGCAGCCCCTCCAGATCAGCATTGTCTAGTATGATCCCACTCTTGAAATGGAATTATGCTATTCTCAGCAAGGATTTTAAAGTTGCGGAAAATCATCACTAAATTCTTTCTCAATAAAATGGCCATTATTTTTCCATACCTAACTTTGCCTTTCTGTGGCAAAGTCTTTTGGTTTGCTAATCCTCCCAGCGTGATATCCTAATCTTGTAAATAGATTAGCCATTGTTAAGAAAAATGGGAGGAAAATGTACTAGGTGCTCTTCTAAGTGGCTATAAATTCTAGCAGGAAATTCCATCTGCTGTGGAAGGCATTTCTAGGAGCAAGGACAAGAATGAGATGGGGAAACCCAGGCACCAATCTTTGCCCCATGGCTGCTTGAAATATGTAACCAAACAGGGCTTGAGGTTAAAAATGAATTAGGAAAAATCTTCTGTCTTTTTGTATTGTCATAGTCTTCCCTTAGTTGGCCAGAGTACACCTTCAGGTAAAATTTTTTTAACAAGGTGGTGTTAAAGGTGCCACCAAGGTCCCTTCAGGACTTAGGTACTCATGCCCCAGCTGCTGACAGTCAGAGTTGAGTCACTCTTGGGATTGCCTTAAGTGGAAGGGAGCTGCCTGGGCCAAGGCCACTCCTCTACTCTGGGGCAGCCCCCCTCCAGCGACTTATCTCTGCAGGGGGATGAGGCCCACCTTCCCTCAATTTGGGATAACTCTAAAGGGCTACCTCAGCTCCGCAGCTTTCTATGGGATTGGCTGACGTCTCCATTGCAACTTTGCAGCTCAACTCCTCCCTCTGCCCAATTCTGCCTTCCTGGCTCCCTCCAGGTGTTGTTCTGGAGCACGCTTCCCAGGAAACCTCCTGCATGCCATGTATGCAAGTCTCCGTCTCAGAGTCGCTTCCTGGAGAACCTGACCTAAGACACGGGGCATTTGCTGTTGTGGTGGAATGATGACCTGGCTGGATTTACCATTCTCAGGTCACCATCCTGTCTCTGGAAACATTGTGGCTGTGGCAATTAATCCATGCTCTTCCTGGGTTTCAGAGGAAAGATCTCTGGAATAAGCCTGATTGATACTCTTTTGTAAGTTTTTTTCCTCCTGCCTTGGTGCTAATAAGATTTTAAAATTGGTTCTTATAATTAAAAAATTTCACTACAATGTAGTCTTGACATGGTGTCTTTTATTTAATTGTCTAAAATGAGATGATCACATTCAGTCTGCATATTCACTTCTTTTTCAGCTCTGAAAGGTGTTCTCTCAGTACAGGAATGGATTCCAGTATATCTATTCCAACTGTTTTGGTGACTTTAGGAAAACACTCAAATTTTAGATTGGTTTTCAAGTTTCTTGTCTTTATGTCCACCATCTTCTTTCTCAACAGTTTATCTCTTTGTCCTGATCCTGTATACTTCAGGGGCATGCTCTTCCAAGAATACCATGTTACTCTTTTCTCTGTCCCCTCCCCCCAAAATCAATCCATCTATAATCTCCAATATATTATTCCAGCAGCTTCTAAGTTCTCATTTATATGAATCCTTCATGGATAGTCTGGAAGAGAGGTGAAGATTCCCCCTAACTCCTTGTAACCCCGCTCTTCTGAACTTCCTTTGCCACTGATGGCCTCATCTTGACCTGCAGTATGTATTTTCCAAGATCTATTCCTTACTATTAAATGAAGAGGTTGGACTGGGCAAATGCTCACATCCACTCCTGTCCAGACACATTCAGTTCTATAGGTTCACCACAGCATGGCAGAAATGAAGAGTATGGATCAGTATTGATGACTCAGTCTTATCTTCCACGGTACCATTCTACTCATCTTTCACAGCCCAGGCCCTGGGCATTTGTGTCCCAGATATGCTAATCCAATTCAGCCCAGATAAGTGTTGCCCAAA